CACCACCACCACCACCACCACCAGCAGTTCTTCCTCTACTTTGCCCTGTGAAGGGTGACTCATAAGCCCCCCTTTGGGACAAAAACACTGGACGACTTGACCAAATTTTTGCTGCCCGTGATTTGTCCTCCCTGGCTCCAAATGTGATGGTCAAATTCTGCGACTGGGGTCTCAAGTGCTTGGGACATGGGAGCCTCAAACTGGTGACACGCAGATAGGAATCCGATCTCATGTCACTTCCAACCCTTCACATGACATGAGTCGGAACATCTGACACACTGCACCGATCTGCTGCCGCTGGGCGCGGCCAAGCGCTTGCGCTGTGTGAGGCGGAGCCCCAGCGGCCACCAGCCATGCGGGCGGATGCCTTTTTGGATGCCGTCCGCGAGGCAGATGCCGTACTCCCTGATGTTGCGCATCAGGTGATTTTTGTGATTTTCCCGAACTCCCCTAAGTCACCCGGGTCATAGATCTATTTAGTCCTCTTCCCCGGCAGCAAAACCCGGGAACCGCTTTCACCTCCAAGCCTCGGGTCCTCCCCTCGTCGGGTCCGTGGAAGTCCACCGTCCGCCATCCGCGCCTCGGTCGGCGCCGAAGACGGACGGTGACGGAGATGACCATTGGGCGTCGCACGACATGAGCTCATCACGACATGTATACACCTAGAAGCGATTTGACCTCTGTTTCGATTAGGAAAAGACCCCTGATTTTGAGTGGTTGGTGGTCCAATATAGAGATCATTCAGGTTCTGGGCATTTGGATGTCAATTGGATGTGCTTTTTGCGATGTCGGTGTCTCTCAAGAATGGCATCGAATATGATTCATAAAGGCTTATTTTTGCCTAGAAGCAGCATGTTTGAGAGGCTGTCACTTCGGCAAGACCGAAAGGAACGGTACGCACGAAGCCGCACCCGCGCGACCATGGGCTCCATACTTGAACACCCATGCACAAACGGAAATGATCACAGTCCGTGACGGGACGTGAACCTGAGGAAGCTGAGGTCATGTTTTGGGTGGGTGGCCAAGGCTCCAGCATGTGGAAGCTGAGCTGGTGCAAAGACTATTTGCTGCGATGTTGTTTGCCTTGATCTGGTTTATCTCTGGGACATGTCCTCTCCAGCAGATGTCGTGCTAGCTCACTTTCGCGGCCCTTCTCAAGGTCAAGGTTCCAACGGTGGACATTGGTATTTTGCAGGTTCAAACACCTTGCTCTCTTGATGAGATACAGTACACCAGCAAAGTACACGCACTAGGAAGGACGTTTGGCAATTCTTTCTTCAAGTGAACTAGCCATCCTTATGGCCCTTCCCAAGGCCTATAGCCGGGACACGAAAACCTGTTTGCCCGCAGGGATATGTTGAACATCTTTTGAATGTATGGGCAGGCCGAACGTCGCTTGCAGCAGCCGAAGCAGGCCCCTTGGTGCGTTTGCGGATCGATGCCTTGTTTTCCGGGGATCTTTGGACAAGTGACAGATGGTCTTGTCTTCAAAAACCTTCGAGTTCAGGTGACTCTCAATCAACCATCCACATGATGTGACCACCTCCACACCTCCACACCTCAAGCTTCTGGGGGATCTGGATTGCACACCGACGTTCTCCAAACGACCCGGGGTAGCACCTGCCACCTGCGACCGCCTCTGGCGCGAGGGACCTGGTACCCGGCGCGAGGAGGACGTGGCGTCCACCATGAGCGGCGAGGACCTTACGGGGGCGGCTGGGGGAGCCCAGGCGAGCAAGGCCCAGTGGGAGCGAGCAGCAGGTGCGTGGAGAGGATGAGAGGTCTGAGGTCTGGGGTTCATGTTTCTATTCGTTTCTTTAAAATCGGAGCTTTTTGGTTCTGAGAAATGGAACACCCTTATTGTAAAACTTACCCTGGACTTTCAAATATATAAAGCTCCCCAGCCTACCCCCGCCATGTCTTTTTCCAAATAAGAAGACAGGTTCATGCTGCGTTTTGCCAACACCTAGCTGCGATCAGCCTTCCTGCCACGACCGACCGACGAGCTCCTCGTCCGGCTGAGGTTCTTCCAAAGGTGGCTGCAGTGGAGGAGGTCGAGCCAGAGGAGCGCCTTTTGGTACCAATTTGGGTGGCTGGTTTGGTTTTGTTGGTTGAAGGATGTTGGTTTGGGGCATTGGTATCGGCAGGTGTGGGCTGGACAAAGCGGTTGACGGAACCCTTGGCGTGCAAAGAAGACCTACAGGAAGATTTTCACTCTTTTCATTTTTTTAGCACCCACCTCACACTTTGCCAAGGGGTTGCGTGTCGCTGGGGACAAGCTCTTTCAGGCCATTTTGTGGCCAAAGAGAACGCAGTGAACATTGGCCGCCCAGCCCATGCGGTCTTGCTGTGATGCCTTGTAGCTTGTAGGTTCTGAAGGGAGCAAACCAGGTGTCTATTTACACCCTGCTGGTTGTTCCGCCGGCCTTTTCAGCCAATGGTCCCAAGATGCGGATTACCTTTTGCGTCAAGAGGAAAGACTGCAACAGAGCAGAAAAAGTAACAACATCATCCAGAACACAGCTGGAGCAACAGAGGAGCCTACATGAAATGACGTGCATCATGATACAATAAGAGAACAGGGAGATGAAATTGGGGGATGCAAAGTATAGCCTGCCAAGCAAGAAGACAAATTATATGACATATGACACAATGAGCGGAGTAGACCGTGCGAAGCAGCAAACGTACATAGCATTCCGTCAGACATGATACAAGAGAGTAATGAGGACATGTGTGGCATGGGGATTTCCAAGCAGTCTGAGTCTGCAAAAAAAGATAGATACGTGAGTGCAGGTGCAAAACTTGAGAAAAACGCATGCAAAGCAGAAGCGCAATGCATGGACAACGACGAGAGAAGAACGACGATAAGAAGGAAGCGCACACAACCTTTCACTTTAGCTATGATATATGTGAGCTACATACATTCGGGGAAGGGGGGGAATGGGGGGGGGTCAAGTTAGACGAGGCAAAAACTTGCTCCAGAGACACCTTTCTCATTACATATAGAGTCAACATAACTTAAGCTACATACAAGCCACATTGATCAAACACGCCGGCGCCCGAGGGCCGGCGGATTAACCAGAACCTTGAAGACATGGTCACGGACGGTGGCAAGCCCTAGTCACACATGAATGGGAGCACTGGGAGGACTGGGGACTGCAGATGGTACTGCAGGGGTGGTCTCCCAGTCCTTTGACTCTCTGGACCTTGGCGATCGTGTTTTGCGGTCTCTTGACTTGCAAGGACCCATTGGACGAGGTAGTGCAGAGCTGAGAGTGGAACCTGAAGGTTCTAAGACGTGTGGCTTTTGCAGCGTTTATAGTTATTTATTATTACTATTTCGTTTTTTATTAAAGCAGCAATCAACTCGCAAAAGAAACCATCGGATTTTTTTGTTTCTCCGAGTGGCGTCTTGAGCTAGACATGAAAGGAAGATGAGACACCAAGATGTCTAATTAGTTTCATGTCTATTAGTTAACATGTCTAGTTCATGACACCATGAGAATCTTGAAGGCCATGTCTACTAGCAGATTTGGATCTTTCAGAGGTGGTGCCCCGAGTGACTGGCAGCCAAGAGGAGTTATCCCCGAACTGCTGAGGTGGCCCAAGCGTTGATGGAGACCATGCAGCAGCCTCTTGACCTGGATTCATACCTGGTCCCAACCGCAGAAAACATCCCAAATCCGGTGATGCTCCGTTTTCCGTGGGGCACGGAAGTGTCCCCCAAGTCATACCTTTAGAGTGGATTGAGAGTAGATGGCACAGACCCCAAGAGGTGATTAAGATGGACCCCAAATGTAAAGAACATCTTGAGGCCTGTGCCATTTCACCTCTGAAACCACGTGTATATGGTTCCTATCGAGTGGATGGAGCATCCATGGGGAAATCTTAGGTCTTGCATGGAAATCCAGCAACTGGCTGCGCTGGCTGCGTGCCTATCCGCCTAGAAACCCATCAGTGGGAGCGAGCAACCAGCTGAAGAATCAGACCTAGACAGGATAGATCTAGACTGTTTTTTTCCCAGACTTTCGCATCAAACGACCTGTCCCAACACCCATCAAAAGAGGCCACATTCTCGACGGTGGTTTTCATCTTTTCACCAGGGTTGAGATGAGTCGTCCGAATTGGCAAACAGGAGGATAGGAGGCCTATTTGCAACACCTATTTGCGATGAAATGATCTCTTCTACATTTCTCTCCATCGAACCATCCTGTTTTGGCGACCCAACATCAACACCGACCAATTGACGTACACTTTCCCACCGCCCAGGGAGAAGACCGTGGCGGAAAAGAAGCAGAAGTTGGAGGCCAAATCCTCCCAGGCACGGAAGACCGATCGAATCGCCTCATTCTCGACCTTCGCATCGCCGGGCGACGAGTCGCAAAGGCGACGAGTCGCGTCGCGACGACCGGGACAGCCGAGCTTGCGTTGCTGCGACTGGCAGTTTTCTCCACGGAGGTTCTGGCAAAATTGGGGGAATCCCTGGAGCTTGGAGGAGACGTGTCCTTCTTGTGTATAGAGAGTTGAAGAGTTGGCCCCTTCGCTGGGAGCCAGATCTTGGACAGGTAGGATCCAGGACCGGCAGCCAGATCGGCAGACACCCCTCTCGGTCATGGAGTCACCACATGGTGTTCATTTCTTTCAAGTTTACACTCACATGATTACGTGCATGGATGGCCATGAACAAGGACCACGTCACGTATTACATGGTGACAGGTTATCAGGACCACGTGACATCAGGGAGTGCACGGAGTGCATTCACGCCGCGACGGGATTTTTTCTTTCCAACACCCCGTGACATACCCCACTACACCCAGTCGTGTCAGTCTCTCCCTGTTTGCAGCAAGCAACTTTCTGTTGACCAGTCGCACTTGCCAAATCCGAAGAAGGCAGGCCAAATCGGTCCTTTCCACCTGTTTGAACACAGGCCATTCCACCGCAGCCGTACTTGAACACCACAGGACCGTCTTCGTGCGGTGCAGCGAGGAGTCAGGGAGCCCCAGGTCGTCGCAGACCTGTTCCGCCGTGGCCGGGCGGGAAACCGGTGCGTCATCGAAATGGTTCTGATGGCACGAAGACCAGGAAAGCAGACTTAAAACGAAGACCTCTTAGAACTGGCCAGAGTCGGTCAGAGTCGGCCAATCTCCAACCACCTTACTTAGATGACGGCTGCGTTCGGGGTTTTGGGGCTCCCTTGTGAGGTCCGATCCTACCAAAAGCTGCAGCACTTCAACCGCGCTATGTGGTGTGGTGGCCCAGAAATGCCAATCCGGTTTCACGCGATTTCGCCGCAGAGCCTGACCAACTGGTGGCAGAGGAACCTGACCACTGTTGACGTACAGAAAACCACCATTAAAAAACACATGGATTTTGTACTTTATGGTACTTTTTGCATGCCTTTGCCTGAACTCTCGCGGGTTTTCGTCCACTGGTCCACGTTCTTTTTCTTTTTCGGTCCTTGTCTCTCGTTCGCCCCCCCCCCCGTCGGAGGGACGCTCCCGAAAGCGACGCCTGAAACCCTCTACCGACCGAACCAAAACATCCATCGACCGCAAGAGCCGCTACGCAGCCTGCAGTGGTCGAGCGTCGCGTCATCGCGGTTCGCCCGGGGTCGGATGAAAACAAAGCGAAGAACCCCAGCCACGGCAAGGGCCCAAAGAGAGACCAATAGATTTCCCCTCAGTGGGAGGCTGGAGTGGGGGAGTTTCTCGAATGCACCCTTTTTCTATGTTTTTTTTAAAAGATTTTTTTCGGAAGTGGGGGAGGGGGAGGTGGGCGCAACAGCTTTGATCCCTCCCCTCCAAAACGCAGTCATACAGGGAAAGAGGGAGGGATTGGTCTAGTGTTTGTTTCTCTCACTCTGGGCACACCATTTTCTTCAGGCTATTCTTTTCCCATCAACATTTTCGCCACAACGGTCAGATCCCAGCCCAGGAAGTAGGTCCTGACCAAATCTCGGGGATTGGGGGAGATCCCAACTCCAAGTCGAACGGTGAACCGACCGACCGCTGGACGGATCTGACCGGGACCGAGACGGGATCCGATCGAAGCTCCCCATGTGACTGCTGCAGTTCACTGAGGGCTGAGACCTTCGGCTACGCCAAGGAGGACGCGCTGTGACCGTCGTCCACGGGTCCACCGGAGTAGTCGAACCCCCATGTGACGGCGTTTTTAAGCAGCGAGCAGCGACGGAAAGCCAGTGATGCGGCGACCGCGCACAGCGCGGTGGTTTGCACTCACTATGGGTGTGTCTTCAAATAGGGAGACCTTCCAAGGACCGAAAGAAGAGGAATGTCTCCCAAAATCTCTGGATCTGAATCAATAACCCACCCACATCTGGACCCAATCACACCCTCGGTGCGGTTAGTGCGGTGGCTTCGTGGTCCCGTCGATCGATCGGAGCCTCCGGTGGCTTCGCCGTGAGGAGCTCCGGTTCCGGGACTTTTGGGAAGCAGAGGACGTGAAAGAGCGGAGACTTGAAGACGCGAGGAAACTGCCCAGGTTGAGAGACCTAGTTCACTAGAGTTGTACATAAAATATGAAATTATGGGATATTCTGAGACTGTGCATGGCTGTGAACAACCTCTTTATAGGGGGAGGGGAGGTGCATTTATTTCTGGATCCTTGCTCTTTTGGCCTACGACTCCTTACCTGGAACTGGAGATAGAGCTGCTTTCGGCACGTCCGAAACTCTGGAGGCGCTCGTCCGAACGTTTCTGAAGAGTTCCAAACAGGGAGTGGAGTGGAGGGGTGTGGAGGGGTTCACCCCACGATCTGCTCACTGTCCTGGGGCGTTTGCCATCGTTTGCCCAACCCGTCTGGAATTTTCGGGCGTCGTTTTGGTTGACTCCGTGGAAGCATTCGGTATTGGAAAGCACCTCCGGAAAAGTGTGCTCGTTGCTTTTGCCATCTCGAGCTGAACCTAAAAACACAGCTACAAAAAGGGTCCTCTACAAGGTTTCCTTGTGCGTCCTTGCTGGGCTTCTTGGTGTTTTCTGGAGTGGCAAGAGTTGCAGCAAGAGTTTTTCACGCCAGGAACTCCGGACCTCGATTCTTTTTGTGCCTTCTGTTACAGGCTGTTACAAGGATATGGGTTTCGCCAATCTTGGGAAATGTCTTGAAGTGTCGTAGTCGTAATCCAACACCAGGTTCTTCGGTTTGTGACCTTCCAAATTGGAGGCCGCAGACAACAGGAAAAAGGCTTACCCAGGACATTTATTTGGGTTGCAAAGAGCGTTATCAGAGGTCCAAGAGGTTTGGACGGTTTCGGACCAGGAGGTTTGGACGTCAGGGCTCATGCTTGCTATTGCATCAGCAGTATAACTACACCTTGCTTCTTCACTAGCAGCAGATTTGACCGGCGGGAGGCTTTCAGTGATTCTTCCGCTTACTCCGAGACGCGGAGGAGCTGCAAAGGTTTGTAGCCTGCAACTTGGAGAACGAACATGCTTGGTGGTTGCCGAACTCCGAAAACGGCGATGCTCGGGGCGACAAGTCCCGGCCATAATGATCGGATTCTCAGGTAGTCGCTGTGGCTGTTGTGGTCGTTGCTGGCCGTTGTGGTGGTGTCGCTGCGCAGCTGATGCTCTAAGGGCAAGTTTGGGAATCAAAAGGGCAACAAAGCCTCAAGCCTTGATCAGGTTAAGCGCAGGAGCCGAGAGAACGTGCCATGATGTCATGTGCACTCCAGATGTCGACCACGGGCGATGGAAGCGTGAGTCTCAAAGAACTTGTTAGTTCGAGATGTTTTGAGCTGTGGAGTCAACGTGGCCACCATGTGTATATTGTTAGTGCCGAGCGAAGCAGGAGAAGAGGATTCATGAGGCCATCGCCAAGTGGCCCCTCAACCCCTCCAGTCGTGCTCTTAGACTGTTGTGGCAGCTTGTGCATCGAGGCGCCCCACCCATTCCTCATGGTTGGCTCACTCATGAGCAGACAGCAGTTCCAGCAAGAGAGACGCACTGTGAATCGATTTTTTCTTCAAGCTGACTATTTATAGGTTTTTGTCAGGGACCCGTACCTTCAGAAGGGTGCGTGAAGGTGCTAGCAAGGCAGCAATGCAGACCCATGGTTTGTCCATGTTTGTCCTACACAGGTTGGAACATTGAAAACTGTTTTCAACAATTTCTTTTTACTGCTTGCATCACACAAGGCCAGAGGTACCAAATTCCTGAACCAAATCGTGTCAAAGTTGGAAGCCTTTTGAACGCTCGTGGTAAACAGGGCCTGGTGGACGGAGAACGGATCAGCCCAGGAATCCCCGAAGTGCAACGACCTGAAGAGCTTCAGGACACGACGTGATGGTTGACAGTTGACAATGGTCGAATCGTGTGGCCACCATTCGCGTTGATGATCGATGATGGTGGATCATGGTTGATATTGTTTTCCGGAATCTTTGTTTCAGGAGTCATTGTTCCTTGCAGATCTTCCAAGGTGACAACCATGGAGAAGGGATTGCTGGTGGCATTCGTTGGCAGATGCACACTTGAAACGATTCCTGAATTCTTCCCGAATTTGTTCCTAAATGTCCAATCCTGCCTGTTTTTGCCGCTGCTTCTTCCAGGCAAAAATCAAATCAGTTTCAACACGTGGTTCTCTACTATAGAAATCAATAGTAAACTACGAAGCCGACAACCATTTTATTGAGTGAGTGACACATTTGTTCCAGTTTTTTCATTTTGCAATATGTTCCGTCCTACCCTGAGTGTGGAAAAACCACAACCTATGTATTCCGAGTGAGCGATGCGTCTCTTCTTCTTCCGATCCCCCTCCGAGTGGTGCGTCGGCTCCGGTTGAGAACACCCAAAGGACCTCGTGATGCGAGTCTTTGGGCCTCTTGGTTTTTACGACGCTCTCCGCGAGACGGCGAGACGCGTTGGAAGACCCGTTCCGTGGTACCCAGCGGGGCAGAGTTTTGGCAGTGTTTCCAAAAAAGGACCAACTGCCAGGAGTCATTGAGCTCGGGGTTGTTTTCAGTCCCATCCAGTGAGTGGATGTGACAGGGGCACCCCTATCCTCCAAGTTCGGCACCCCGTCGAACGTGACTCCTGGTGGGTGCTGATTCGAAGGGTGCACATCGATAGTCGTGCCTTCTGGATGCCGTGCCCATGACCCCGGTGTGCGGGGTCCTGACATAGGCCACCACCTGGACATGGAACTCCAGTTTTCTTTTATTTAAGGGCTGCCGCCCCTGCCGCCGACCCCGGGACTCAACTGCAGCTTGCACTCGCCAAAAAGCTATGGTTCAGGTGACTACGACAGAAATTCCGAGACCGGTTCAGGGGCCCCTGCAGAATCCCTGTACCAGCATGTATAGTTCTTTGCGCATTGGTGCTACCCAGTTGGATCCTCATCCAATGGGTTTTAGTGGGTCGACATGCCACACTGTAGATCTTAGCGGCAGATCAAAATAGAGTTTTCAACAGAAGGGACTGAAACAGAAGCAAGTGTTTCAAGCGAGTCGCTGAATGCATCCGCTTCTGCACATCGTCCTTGCTCCTTGCCCTCTTGGCTGACTTCTTTTTTGCCTGGGCCTTTCCTTTTGGTTCCTGGGCCCTCTTCTTTGGCTGGTTGACCTTTGCCTTTGCCTTAGCTTTTGGTTTGCTTTTTGGCCTTGACTTTGCTTTTGCAGTAGGCAAAGAACTCCTGCCAGCTTCAGACTGCTCTTCGCGTTCGCTTGGGCCAGCCTGGGAAATCATAGGCAGAGAAACTGTTTGGAGTATGGGTGGAATGCACAGTGTTTGCAAGCAAACCAGCTCAGCTTAGAGGCATCCCGAGGCAAAGCTGGATCATTGGGTGAAGCATCAGGCAATAGTGTGGGCTCACTGACAAGGTCCTCACAAAAAAAAAAAAACAAAGCTGGACTGTTTTGAGTGTGTTTTGCTGAACCTTAATGAATCTGCAAATAAGAACTGGATTGGCATTGGATAGTAGATGCACAATGATGTGCTGCCTCCGATGGAACTTCGTGTTCAAGGTCGCCAGCATCCAATGCGTCCAATGTCCCATCACCCTCAGCAATAGATGTAGTTTTTGAATCATCACCACATGGTTCATTGCTCCCATCGTTTGGCAAAGATGCGCTCATAGTTACATCATCCACTTCCTAGGATGCACTATGCAAAAGCAATCAAAAACACACTCTTCAGACTTTAACTTTTTGATCACACCCTGCCTCATCCAAGTGAAGGGACAAATCTTCATGAGCTTCCAACCTGGATAAGGCCTTAGCATAGACTTGGGGGTGCACATCCCCTCGGAATCATGCATGTCTAGCACAAAGACTTGACGGTCTAGACAATGCTTTAAAAAGGCTGAACATTTACACTTTGCACAGTGGACTTTGACTTTCAGACTGCTTTGCATGTCTAGCAGTAAATGATTCAGTGCGTTAAGATTAACTTTCAGACTTTCAGGCAACACGCTTTTGAGCATCTGTAGATTGGACGAGGGGCCATGCGGCGGGTAGCTTTGGATTCTACGCTGCTCTCCAGGCCAAGTTGGTTGTCTGGGACCAGGGCTCCATCAGAATCCACATCAGTCTTGGCATGAACAGATTCAGAGTTTGTTTCTTCCACTGATGCATGTGTTCGAGCAGCATGGAGCAGTGGCCGCGTCT